TTCCGCCCCAGCGCGTCCCTGCAGCCCAGGTGGAGAAGCTCAAACAATCCTCCTGCCTTGGCCTCCCAGAGTGCTAGGATTACAGGCGTGAGCCACCGCGCCCAGCCGACATTTTTTCTTGAACAGTGAAAAAAAAAAAGGAAACGGAAACCTGAAGACATTCTATTTCTATTAATAAAAGAATAAAACCTATAACAAAGTCCTAATTAGGGTGTGGATTTCACATCCATGCTTTTGAGCAATGATTGGATGAAAATTGCTACCAGGAAATTATTCCAGTTGGGTAGAGGGCTCAAGACAATTAAGAAAAAAATAACGTGGCATGTACTCTTGCCACAGACGTGTGAAAATCTCAATTTCCTTGTGTTACATGAGAAAGAAAAAAGGCTACCCAGACTATATTGGGGATGGAACTGATCACTCTTGGAGCAAAATACGCTCAAATAAATTAAAGTGTGTGTGTGTGTAGTGTTTGTTTGCCATTGAATACCAGAAAAGCTGCCTGTTTGAACTAAAGAAAATGTTATGACTCTAAATAAAAGTAGTGTCTGTGGAGCCTCAGAATCCTCCCAGCTGGTAATTCCTTCTCCAATCTCAGGTATTACCTTTGGCTCCTTTGAGAGTTGCCTGCCAGCAGAGCCAGTGCAGTGGCTGGGGACCTCTGTAGAGGACGCCAAGGACTTTGTTGAGGACCAGGCACCAATCGGGAAGAAGTCTTTAAAAGAACACATCCCCATCCACAGCCAGGACTAAGTCTTGATTTTGACTCCAGGAAAAATGTCACCACATTTCACCCTCTGTTTCCTTCTCTATGGTAGTCAAAGATCAGTATCACCAGGACTGAAACTGGCTGCAAGTCCTGTGACTTTGTCTTTCTTTAATTGACAAATAATAATTTTGCATGCTTATGGGGTACAATGTGATGTTTTGGTATATGTATGCATTATGGAAAATTTTAATCAAGCTAATTAATATTTCCATCACCTCACCAATTTATCTTGAGAACATTAAAATTCTATTTTTGCAATTTTGAAAGATACAACACATTATTATTCACTCTGGTCACCATGCAGTGCAATAGATCACTTATTCCTCCAGTCTACTTTAAAGTTTGTATTCTTTCACAAACATATTCCCTTTCCCTATCCCTCCCTTCCCCCTGCCCCAGACGTTGGTAACCACCTTTCTAGTCTATATTCTCTGTTTCTGCAAGATCCACGTTTTTGTATCCACATATAAGCGATACAACCATGCTAATGAAAAGCAAACATTAACCTCCAAATAAAATACAGACTTTCAATAGAAACACAGCTAAGCACCAGCAAGCTCCCCCTTTAGCCCACCTCCTTGCAGTTACTTACAGCTTGCCCTTTAGCCCCTCTCCTTACGGTGGCTTTCTGCCCAGAAGTCAAGTAAACCCTGTCACAAGGCACTAACTTCACTTAATTGTTTCTATAAGATAACATCTTTAAGGTTAAGAAATGTAAAGATTTCGTTTGAGATGTTTCCCAAGTTCTGGATTCCCATGGGTCTACTGACACCAGCCAGTCTGAAGAGCCCCACTGAGGCACTGACTAGGTACAAGAATGCAGCTTTTCATTTCCTATACCCCAACAAATCAGGGACCCCATGCACTCAGCCCCTTACCTACCAAAATCCCTTCAAAAACCCCAATCCAAGACCCCCCGAGGAGGCAGATTCGAGGTTCCCTGCCAGCTCCTCATTTGGCAGCCATGTAATTACTAAACTCTTTCTCTGCTCCAGCAACTACGATTTTGTATTGGTTTGTTACTGTACTAAGGGCAAGAACCTGGTGGGCCTGCAACAGAGAGATCACACACTCTGTCTTTCTGTGCCTGGCTTATTTCATTTAGCATAATATATTCCAGTTCCGTCCATGTTGTCACAGATGATCAAATTTCTTTCTTTTTGAGGCTTAATAGTATTCCATTGTGTACATAAACCACATTTTCTGTATCCATTTATTTGTTGGTGGGCACCTAGGTTGCTCGCATATCTTGACTATTGTGAATGACGCTGAAATGAACTCAGGAGTGCAGATATGTTTTCAACGTAATGATTTACATTCCTTTCCGTATATACCCAAAAGTGGAATTGTGATATCATAAGGTACTTTTATTTTTAGTTTTTTTTTTTTTTTTTTTGAGACAGAGTCTCACTCTGTAGCCCGGGCTAGAATGCTGTGGCGTCCGCCTAGCTCACAGCAACCTCAGACTCCTAGGCTCAAGCAATCTTCTGCCTCAGCCTCCCGGGTAGCTGGGACTACAGGCATGCGCCACCATGCCCGGCTAATTTTTTCTATTTTTAGTTGTTTTGGCTAATTTCTTTCTATTTTTAGTAGAGATGGGGTCTCGCTCTTGCTCAGGCTGGTCTCGAACTCCTGAGCTCAAACAATCCTCCTGCCTTGGCCTCCCAGAGTGCTAGGATTACCTGCGTGAGCCACTGCACCCGGCTTATTTTTAGTTTTTTGAAGAACCTCCACACCGTTTTCCAGAATGGTTGTACTACTATAGGTTCCCACCAACAGGGTACAGGTTTTCCCTTTGTCCACATTCTTGCCAACACTTGTTATCATTGGTCTTTTGGATAAGAGTCATTCTAACAGGCCTGAGGTGATATCATTGACACTGCTGTCCTCTTATCTCAATTGAGGGGTCAGAATATTGTACTTAAAGCTTGTAAAGTGCCTTAAACTATCCAGTTAAAAACGATTTTTCATTGCATTAGCAACATTTCAAAATATTTATCAGAACGGACAGAGCCCAGTTGTGAGATGACACAGAGCGGGGAGAGCGGCGAGCGAGCTGCAGCCACAGCACAGGCAGAGAAGGAGAAGGGCTGTGATGCACGTGCGGCTGGTGGTGAAGCTGAAGAGACAGAAAGACTGGAGAGAATTAGGATATGAAGCAAGCAGAACTCCTCTTCCTAAATTCACAGAATGTCACTTGTGCGGGCTGTGAACAGGTGTCCTCTCTCCACATGTAGAAGCAATGCCACTTCTTCATCTGGATGTTACAGTCTCATATCCAGAGATACAATCTCACTCCAATAAGACCATTTATTAGCCCCACCCCCAACCTCCGAGAAGGGGAGGGGCTCAAAGTTAAGTTGATCACCTGTAGCCAGTGATTTACTCAATCATGCCTGCCTCATGGAGTTTCCATAAATGCTCAAGATTACCGGGTTCTTAGAGCTTCTGGAGAGCTGGATACTTGGAGGTTCCTGGAGGGTGGGGCACCCACACGAGAGAGGGCAGTGGAGCTCCAGGTCCATAGTGTCAGAATGGAATTGAAGTATAGAATCCCCAGCTGGTGTGTGCTGCAGAATTTGCCAATGATGGGGAGAAATCCCCAAACATTTTGGTGACCGGAGGTCACAGAAGTATTCTGTGTTGACTGTTGAGTGAAGGAAAAAGAAAAATTTTGTATTCTTTCTTGTAGCTCTCTGAGCTAAGAAAGTAAAGCATAAGATGAGGTTGCGTGCATGTTAAGGACAATAAAAGTTGTTCAGGAGAAAGACTTGTTAAAGTGGTGGTATTTATAAAAAAGTGAAATGGTTTTGATTAACTCATTCCAAGAAATGTGGAGAAACAAGTCTAAGAGATTGTGTATGTGTGTATTGTTCTATTCATGCCCAGGCCATTGTGTTCATGAATACATTACTGGCAATTCTACCATGTTTTAAGCTAAGGAAGTCTGTTAAGAGACAAGCCACCAGACATATATGCAGACTCAAGTGATCTGTTAGGTAAATTGAGGACCTGCAGCTGTGCTTGAAGCTTTCTCTTGCAGAGCTATTAATGGGTTACAAAGGATGTCTCCAAAAAAGAAGGGCACATGAGGAGGTATGTCTGACCTAGCTTCTCATGGCCAGCAACTCTGCTTTAGGGTATTTCTGGGGTTCCCCTGGCCAAAAGGGGGTCTATTCAGTCAACTGGGGAGGGGGAGCGTTAAGACTTTATTTTAGTTCACAAGGCTGTAGCACTTTTAAGTAAAAAAAAAAAAAATGCAATTACAAAGCCGTAGGGAAACAAAGAGCCACTTTTGACAAATTGTTGTCCACAAAATGCACAGACCCCTGCCCCCAACCGCCCACCAGGAACAGCGTGTCCCAGAGCCCCAGCGCACTAGTGCGTGTGGTCTGGGTACCAGAGTGAGGCCTCCTGCACCACTGGTTCCCATTCGCCACACCTGCGGGTCCCCAGCAAGAGGGACAGGGCGCGCGCTGGAGCCGGCCACAGCCAAGTCCCGGCAGGCGCTCAGAGGGGACCAGACACTTGGCGAGCTCGGATCCCGAGCGGTCCCTGAGGCGGGCAGGGACGTGGCGCGGGCTTCCAGTTCTAGGAAGTTTTTGGCCACCGCTGCCCGGGAGGCTCCGCAGCAGCCAAGAAAGGACCGCGGGCCAGGCGGCCCATAAGCACGTGGCGGCGCGGGCCGGGCGCCAGAGATCCAGGAAGTTAGGGAGCAGGAACCCGGCCGCCGCCGCTTCCGCCCCAGCGCGTCCCTGCAGCCCAGGTGGAAAGCTGGCCTCCTCCTCCTCCTCCTCCTCCTCCCGGCTCCGTCTCCCCTCCCCCCCTTCCCCTGCTTCCCACCCCTCCTCCTACCCTCCGCCTCCCTCTCCACGCCACCCGCCAGACTCTGGAGTGGCGTCCTCCTCCCGCGGGTGCCCGGCCGGCGTGGGAGGCAGCCTGCCCGCGCCACCGCCTGAGGACGCCGCGGCCCCTCACGGACGCGCGGGCCTGCGCCTGAGCTCTCTGCCTGGCCGGGGTTGTCGTGGCTCCTCGGAGCACCCCCCACCCCGACCGCGCCCCTGCGTGGAGCAGAGCGTCCTGCGGAGAGCGGGAGAGGAGAAAGGATCCAGCGGCACGAAGGAGGGGCCGGGGCACTTAAGGCAGAGACAGTGGGGACCCGAACGTGCGCCCGGTGGGGAGGGGTCGCCGGATGTGAGTGGTACCACGGGGCCAGTGCCGGCGTTTCTGCTGCTCCCACTCCCCGAAGATCGCGGCCAGAGCCGGTGCAGCGATTTGTGTGGTACCTGGAGCCTTAGAGCCATCACCCAGCCAACCTCGAGGTGGCATCCACAGCCCCTGCCTCCCCCCGCCCCCCCCCGCTCGGGTTCCTGGCCAGCTTTGGTCAAGCCAGACGGTGGACTTGGGTGGGTGGCTGTGACTAGGTCACCTGAACCTGGCCCGCTCCCGCTCCCCCTGAGAGGGCAGCAAGACGAGGTGACACCCTCTGGTACAACCAATGCCCCCATCCTGCTCTCATAACCTGGTGGGATAAGCGTTTTGGCCCCAGGAGGCGCGTGCAGTGCCAGGCCAGGCCCAGGTGAGAGGGTGGATGTCTCAGCGGTGTGGGGCCGCCGTCAATCATGGTTCAGCCTGGCTGTTGAGGGTCTAGGAGGGGCCTGGGACTAAGGGAGGGTTGAGTCACTGGGCCCTCGCTGCACGCCATGGTCTCTAAGGTGCTGCAATCTCTGCCCCCAGGCAAACCGGAGACCGCTCTGGGTGCCACACACCTGGCGCAAGCGCTGCCAGGCTCCAGGAAGGTGGGCAGATGGCCTGGGTCACGGCTGCCAGGAGCCTGCTCCCTGGGGACAGCCAGCTTCCAGCCTGGGAGAGGGGTCGCAGGCACCTCCATGCCCAGCCTGACAGCAGGGAGGCGGTGGCCAGTGAGCAAGAGGGCTGGGGAGAGCAAGCCGCCCAGCTGACCTTAGAGATTTACACGGGAATG